GCGTGTTACGACCAATATGCCCAGAGTCACAGAACGGATTAAGTTCGTATCCCGAGGTACCACTGTACATATGAAAGTATCTTCTTTGTACAAACTCAGAACTCTGGCAAACCACTTCCGAAACACCTTGCCTTGAAAACTGCAAGGATTCGTCCAAGCAGTCACTGCAGAGTCGGTAACGACTGAGCACAAATTAAAAACAAAAACAAAAAACAGTAGTATAGGTATTAAATGTTGGGAAATATAGCATTGGGATAACATATATAACTATGTTTAGGGATAATTGTGTTTAATTTCTAAATTGTGCTGCAAGAAATGGACTGACAAAGCAATAATGTCCTTAAATCCATTGGTTTTACAGTCTCCAAAGGGAGAGAAATAACTTTAATTTGCCCAACATTTCCAGTTTTATAACACCATTGTTTCTGGCTTGGATGTCTTCTTGTGCTTTGAGAATTTTTTAAAAAAATGTAATTGCATTCCAAAAATTTAAATGCCTCAACTTGCAATTCAGTGAATTCATAGTGAGGCTCTGGGTTCGTTTGTTTGTGAAGTTTGCAGAGAACTTTATTAAAAAGAATAAATTTCCATAAAAACTGCTACTATAGCACTCCTTTAGTAAGCATTTGCTGGGGAGAAAGGTTTGTTGAGACACTTGGGTGACATCAGATGGTTTGGACAACTAAGGGTCAAGAAACATGTTGATCAGCCTGAGCAGATTATCTGTGCTCCTGCAAGCATGCTGATACTTCCCTGTTGAGCGTGGATGTTCCCATTTTGGCTGAGCCAATACATTACTATGGTAATAATGCAAATGGATGTGCTAGCATATATCTGTTGTGTAACAGTAGGGAGGATGTTGGGCTAGAAAGGTCTAGTTTCAATTTCCCATTCAGTCATTGAACTCACTGGGGACATAACAGCAGTGATAGAAAAGGGAATGGACAAACCTGAATTTTTTGTGGCAATGCTGAATTACTGTAATTTTAATTTCAGTATATGTCGTTGTAAACCTTGCAGCTAATATATTCAATACAAAGTCATCCCAAAACTCAGCAGGCATATAAATGGATCTCGATAAAATCGCTAGCCACAGGGATCTTTCATAAATGGATCTTTCATAAAATCGCTAGCCATAGGGCTTATGTCAGATGTTATGTCAAGAGCAGCTTCTTCCTGGATGCAAGAAACTTCACATAAATCTTAACAGTTTGGTGGCAAATCACACAAGGCTGTTTTAACATTTGACCTCTTTGGGCAAAATAAACCTTGTCTTGCAAAATAAAGCTAAGCATGCTTGGTTAATTAACTCATCTCAATGCAAGGTTTTGCTTCACTGAGTGAACTTCAGGAATGCAGCTTCAGGGGAATCTTGAAGTGGGTAGAATAGTATTCTATAGGGCTAAACCAGAGCGATCTGAGGTTCCTTGCTAACTAAGCCTCCTTTCATACTGTTAAATATACATTTATCTCAAGTATTAAATGTCTTGGTCTCCAACATTATTTCCCCACAGCTTCTATTTAACATTAGATCTCTGCTGCCTAGATGACCTTCAGCAATGTTTCAAGAAGGTCTGGCAAGGAATTCAAATGACTTTATGCTCGATCTCTTGCATGATTTTGGAAGTCTGCTCAATATTATAGTAATACAAAATTTTCATATAATGAAAAATAAGATATAAGAAAGGTAATACAAATTTTCATATAATCCATTGGCATCATATGAAATAGTAGATTAGGCTGAGTTTTCCACTGAAACTTTAGTATTTGTTATTGGTATGTATTTCTTCCTCTAGTCAAAACTTATTCTACCATTTTAAGAATGTAGAGAGTTAATCAATGCTTATGAAACTTCCAGTGGTTTTTTACTATGCATATAATCCACTTCTTGTCATCTTAACTATAATGCAATAAAATTATTTTCAGCAAGCAATGCTGAAATTTTCTTTTCTTTTCCAGGATATGTGACCAGAAATTATGCATTCTAAGGCAAGTGAAGTCTAGGGATGGGTGGAAAATTTTCCATTCTTTACCCCTCCATCCCTTAGTATTAAGAGTCTCACCTTTAAATATTAACTTCTACTCCTCATATCTAGCTATGGATTAGGATCGTATGGGATGTGGTTTCCCAAGGCTTTTTTCTATACACTGTCCAGTTCTTCAAAGACAAAAGAGATAGGAGGTACCCATGTTCGCTAATATCTTGCCTCACTGAATGAAACAAATCTGTTTTTAAACATTCATTCTATGCAAAAAAGCTACCAAGTTTAACTTAAATTGTAACTGAAATGAACGGCTCCTGTAGCACTTAAATCTTAATTTTGTTAAAAAATGGAGACAACAGAAGTAGTTTTTTTTTCAATGACATTACTATTTAATATAACAAAGCTTTATGCTTGTTTTTCAGTAAAAATAAAAAATAGCTTGAAGAGTTTTTATCATTGGCACAAAGGTAACTACATTTTCTTGTGTGACAGTCTGGCTTTAATAAAATAACCAGACTTAAAAGAAATAGTATGAGCCTTCCTTCCTTCATTTTTTTTTAAATAAAGGACTTACTACAAAAAAGAGAAGTTGTTTATTGGCAACTCAATTAATAAAAAAATTCCATTGAAACAAACAAACAAAAATTCTCCCCATTTTGTAAGTTCTCTTTACTGATAAACAAAGAAATATCACTTTTTCAGTATATCTCCTAAGAAACTAATGGGGGGGGGCAGAGAGGGCCAAGTGAGAAGTTATTAGCAATATATTTATAATTTTAATGTTCTTTTTATAATAATAATAATTCCAGAACAGAATTGTTCTTTCTTGTTGGTTCATTTAGAAAGAGGTACAACTTGAGCCAGTAGTAAAGTCAGTAAACAAAAATTTTACTGAAATAGTTCAATAACACAGATACGGGATTTTTGTCTTAAGTGTAAAGCTAATGTCATACATGAGAAAAATGGACAGAACTTTTCCCCTCCCCCCAGACTAATATGGATACAATAAATATGGAGTTGTACATAACTGAATCTGTACATACAAACTTCGCCCCACAGCCATAAAAATTTACATTTAACAGTGCAACATATAATTTAATCATTTCATTTGACATAAGATTTTGTTTTACTTACGAAACAAAACTACTCAGGTTTAATATACATATAATATATAATTTTGACAATCTGTACAGTTTTCTAAACATAAAACACAAAAAAGGCACAATTGTCTATACAACATGTACAAAAAATGGCCGGAGCTGACAAGAAACAACAATTATTGGTCAAGAGTTCATGATTGCACGAAGATTAGTAATGAGTTTGTGTCAGAAAATATGTGCTTTAAGTAAAAGGGAGGTTTGCAAAGAAACCCAGTAAGTGTTACTTTAAAAAAACATACACACAAAACAAAACACGCGCGCCCCCATACACAACCCAACATGAAACCAAAACACCCTAGGTTGCAATTACTAGTCTATCCTCATCATCACTGCTGCCATCACTAAGGTCCACTTTTGGCAGCCTTTTCGGCCAATGGAATTCTTTATCCTGAGGGACTGTCTGATGTCCGGGGGAACTGGATAAAATGTCTGAATTCACCTTTGCAGGAGGCTCTGACCCAGATGCCTGTCCCACCTGAACAGAACTAATATTGCACTTTGGTTTTATGGGACTCTCTGAGTCAGGATTTTCAGAGTCTGGGTTATCCGGGCTGTCGTGCTGTCGATATTCCTTTGCAGGAGCCACTTCCAGTAGATTTTCGATGCTGTACCGCTTGTCGGCAGGCGCCTTCTGAGGAGATAGAGCACTGGCAATCTGAGCAGGGTCCAGAGTAGCTAAGCTCCCAGAACCCTGATCTGGGAACGTTTCACAAGTGTTATTCCTGGAGGCTGGTGGTTCTACGATCCCCTGATCATCTGCAGTCCTAGGGCTCACCGGAGGAACTAAAGTTGGCAGTGCTATGTTTAATATTTGCAGCCCTGGAATGTGTGCCTGAGGGCTAGAGTTGCTTTGAGAGGAAGGGTTTGCAGTCAGCACTTGTAACCCTACGGCATTGAGCGTTAATCCCGAATGATGTATCTGTGGTGCAATGCTGGTGCCGGCCAGGCCTAAGATATTCACCGTTTCCATGCTCAGGGATGGAAGAGGCTGCAGGGCTGGTGCACTTAGACTCTGGATGCCTGGCACATTAATTTGGCCTATAGGGATACAGGGAACCACACTGTTCACTTCTGCAACACCAAGGTGATTTGCAGTGCCAGAGACTGCACAGGCTGGATCGCCAAGAGCGCTTGTAGTTCGGTGGATCACGCTAACAGCAGGAATAGTGAGCTGTACTGGCCCAGCTGGAATGGGTAGAAAAGTAGAGTAGGTGGCCAAGCCAGCAGGTACCACATGGATCCCCCCCACTGGAACCACTCCATAGGGACTCTTAGTTTGTTGTTGAGAATGCAAGGGGAGGTGGCTAAACAGATGAGTCTGGGGAGGTGCTAATTTCATGGTTTGTTGATGTTCCCCATGCTTTTGCTCTTGGATCTCTGCAAAAGGGGATGCCATTGAAGGAACGACAACTGTAGTTTGTGTACTCCGGTCTATGGGTACAGAAGGAAGTCTTGTAGAAACTGTGCTCTGCACGAGAAAAGAGAAAGCAAGAGAAAGGTAATTATGTTAATAATTGTTAAGTATGCATCTGCTAGGCTGAAATGTATGGAATTTGATTCAGTTGAGAAACCTGGGTTTTACTTTTTCAATGTTTTAGACTAAAAACATGGGTGGAGTTCTTGGTCATTTTCTTTCAAATTAATTTTGAGAAGCCCAGAATAAAATGAGAAGCCCTGCTTTTCTGTTTCTATACTTGACACATGTCAAGAATTCTATTTAGAGCTCTAAATATTCTAATTTCTTAGTGAAAATGTTACAGCATTAACTAGGACACATTATTTCATCTGAAGAATTATCAAGGCCATATGGCCTTGCGGTGGTGTTAAACATAATCTTATGATATTTTCTACTGGTACCACTGGCAACATCTGTCCAGATTCCAGCACTGTTTAGGCATTCAAAAACCAAAGCAATCACAACATGAACACTTCAATTAAATCCCTCTCTCTGCTGATGAATGAAGTTGGCTTCTTTACAGGCAGCTGCACATCCAAGGTAGAAAGTGCCATGGAACTAAGCAGAACAACTGCCCAATGCTATCTGAACCTGAAAATAAGGTTTTAACACTTTAATATTAAAATCAGGCCAAACGCGGATTTAAAATTAATTAATGATAATTAATTTAATCAATAACAACAGTTTTAATTATTAAATTTAGAAGCTGTCTGACTTCAGAACAACTCTGGGCAGCTTACACTTAAAAAAAAACAGAACAGTAAGAAAAAGGTTCATATGCGTCCAGGCAAACCACATTCCATAAACATAACTGAAGGTGCTTTGCAACCACCCTACCCTAAGGCCTTGGAGAGCAGCCAAGTTACAGATCATCATCAGGGTGGGAACCACGTGGATCTCTGGAGGAATATCATTCCAGAGAGCACGCACCACGACAGTGAAGGCATGTTTCGTGGGTCCCAATAGATGGCATTGTTTGATTGAGGGGACTTGGAATGCACTAATTCTGACTGATATTCTCAGATGGGTAAAAACCATGGGAGACAGATGGTCCCTCAAATAAACTGGCCCTGTGCCATGAAGGGCATTATAGGTGATAACCAGCACCTTGAATTGCACCAAAATAGCCTTGTTTTAAAGCATCTTGCTAAAAAGGGGTCATTAGCAACTGGGTGACAGATTTGTATTCAGTCCAAAGAAGGCTTCTTAAGAAGGACCTGCAAAATATGTTACCTTGAAGAGGGCAGCAAAGTACATGTCTAGGTGAGTTGAAGAAGTGCTTAATCTTTTTCAAAACGCTGTTAAAACCCAAAATGGACCAAAGTCAAGAAAACAAGGTTCCTCCAACAGAGTGGCCAGATCCTCAGTTCACAATAACTGAGTCTGATGTAAAACCAGACTAGATGGTGTTCTAGACAACCTAACATGGAAACTTGCTATTATTATCACTGTCACAAAAGATGCAAAGTAATTAACTTCTGTAACTGTTATGAGTCTTACATCAACTGCTTTTCAGATCCTTCTGAAAACCAGGGAGCTAACCAGGCTTATGTTGCAGGAGAAAATGTTTGGCAAATATGTCTTTAGTCCTCTCTTGTACACCATTCCATAGACTAAAGTTTAGACATAAACACCAGTGATGCTCAAAGCATTCGGAATTCTTCAGATTGGTCTTAATTGGTCCACTAACTCTGCAGAAAGAACCAATTTCTACTAAGAACCATAACAGAAATGAAGGCACCTCCCTTGTTTCCCCGTTTTAAAATAATTCACATCCAGGCAGTAGAATATACCAAGCCCAGAATGTCATATACAAAGACCTCAGTTGGACCCACAAAGCAACTGTAATGTGAATATTGAAACTGTAGGATTCTCCAGTCCTACGTATCCAAATTCCTCAACTAGGTTTGACAGAGAAACTGGAAACAAGATTTTCTGTACTCCTGGTGAATATAACTTGATAACTTCCACTCTCAATTCAGCCATTAGAGTAATGATGCAAATCAGTGCATATCAGTGAAACATTTTCAAACATAAATCCCATGCATTGCACCAAAGACCCATAGCATGTAATCTAATCCTCCAATTTTGTTGTCACTAATTTTCAAATACTGGAAGTGTTTTTTTAAATGCCAACGTCCAAGAAAAGCATAATTTTGCCAATAAAACAATAAGCACTGCCTGCTTTCCCTGCACTAAAATTCTGGAATTAAAAAACCCTTCCTCTCACCTTCCAAGTTGCTGTCGTGCTAATAGGAGTGGTGCTTCCTAATACTTCTTCTGTACTTGGGAAGTCCACATACATCTGATGACACGGTGACCTATGAAGTGTTTCTGAAGGGACAGTAGGCTCTGTGCTCGTTGCTCTGTCTTGCATGCTTTCTTTTTTTGCTTCTCTGGAAATAGCCGATCCCAGTGGCCCTGAGTTCCTGCAGTCCGACTGCACTGTACTAAGTACTGTCATTTTTGTGAGAAGTGCTTTTGGCAGGCCATCCACAGAATCTGTGTGAACCCCAGCAAAACAGTCTGCAGCTCTAATTTCTTCATCAGCACTTGAAATCTCATGAGAAGCATTTCTTGAGGGGTGATGCTGTGGACTGGCTGAAACAGAGGGAGTAGCAGATAAAACCGATTCAGCTTGGCTATCTTCATCATCATCTTCATTATCATTGTCTTCATCCTCTGGCCCATCTGAATCCTCTGCATCAAATCCAGACCGTTCATAATTTAGCCGTTGCTTTTCACCTATGAAAGAGAACAACATTAAATTCCCATCTAACAGCCCAGCAATTCAAAGGAGACTCTTTGCATTGCATTTACTGCAAATAGAATGGAAGTACATGCAGAAATCCTTGGAAAATATGAAACCTCTCCCTGTCCCACCCAAAAGGTAACATCTTGAACAGAAGGACTTTAGAATGGTCAATTCCACAACTGGTGGAAGGTGTGGTTATGCATTCATGGGAGAAGCATTCAAACTTGTTTACAAGGGGAGTAGTCAAACATGCAACATATCCCTCTCAGATACGGTGCATCACACTTCAGTTTTAATCAACCAACCGTTTTGTAGGCTCACTAAGCATTACTAAGATTCTAACAAAGCCCTATGAAAGGGAAGTTTGCACAATGTAACTAGCCTTTTTAACGGTTTCCAGAGGGATAGCTATGGTAGTCTTTTTCAGTAGAAAAAGAAAGAAACGTGCTATTTTTAAAAACCCAGCAAATTTACCCCTTCATTGGCTTTATACTTATTTATTTTATTTTTACGCTACTTTTTCACTCAAAGATTATGGTCTGTTTTCATCAGATTTATAGAGAATGTTCCTGTGAGAGAGCTGATGAGGTATTATACAATCCTTGGAAGCTTTTTATTAGAGCAATGCAGGGCTTCACATACAAAGACCAAAAGGTGCTTTAGAACACACAAGGGCATGAATGCAGACCTCTCTGCAATTCCTTAAACCACAGGGGTCTTTTCCTGGGATTGGGCATGCAATCATAACATAGCATACCTAGCTCACTGTTGGTGTTAAATTAACATCAGCAGTATAAGAAGAGAACAGGCTGTATTAGTTAAGAATTTGTACAATAATTTAATAATTATTATAGTAGTGCTGGAGGAGGAGGAGGAGAAGAAATAATAATAACTAATAATAATAATGGAAGCTGGCATGTGACAATCTAAAAGCATCAGCTTCCAGCCAAATCCATTTTTCAAGAATGCCTCTAGATCTCACTTTGCCTCATATACAATTTCTGGCAATTAAAAACGATGCGTGCCTACCTGTCCAGGAAAAAAACAAACATAAGATAGAGTGGTAGGGGGCATTTCCTGAGATTAGAGAAGACGCTGGAGAGTAACCTTCCTGTACAGCTTCTGATTAGTAGTATTCTGCAAGTGTTAGGTTCACTGCACAATCTTTTTTCCTCATAGCAGTTATTTTGTTAGCATCCCTCTATGCTCTCAAAATTCCTAATAGTTTTATCACTTAAAAATAAATTTAAAAAAAGAGAAGTAAGCAAGCTCTTAACATTTGTTCTTCCTTACAGCTATGAAGTTTTGGTCACACAACAGAAAACCGTTAGCTTGCTCTCTAATAGAAAGAGATCATAAGTATCAACACAATCAAGCCATAGTTCAATACTTTTTCAACTAGAATTTAAGAAATTTAATAGCAATTCACTTTGCCTGGTACATTGGTGGAGGGAAACTAACAAAATGTTATCACTATTAATATGACAACTCAAGTCTAGTTAGGGTGTTGTTTAGCCTTTATTATCAATTATAGAAATCATGCATTTTTATATCCCCCCATCTTTTAAATCAAAATCTTGCTTTATCAATTGGGAAAGGGAACCTGAAGAACTTTGACTTCTTCTAAACCATCAATCCTGCAACACATATTACTACTGTGTTTTTCTTCCCCTCTTTCCTCCTCAAGGTCACTTCTGTAACAAGACTTGGGTAGAGTATATGAAGAGACGAGCAAGGGAAACTTCTATAGCATAAATGAAATTTACTTATATGATGCTGGATACAGCAGTTAATTAAATATATAGATTCAGTTACAGTTACAGATTGATTGATTGATTGATCATATTTGTATAGCCACCCATCTCACAAGAGAGTGACTCTGGGTAGCATACAACACTCAATTAAAAAGAACCAATAAATACATATAAAAATCATTAAAATGATAAAAACGATTAAATTGTTTAGATGTTTAGTAGATACCATCTAATATATATGTCGGCATTAGGTTTGGATTGGATCCTGTACCAGGTCAGGTTGATATTGAGGGATTTCAGAGATGTCCAAATCAACGTTGGATTCCTAGAAATTAACTCAATTTGCTAGTGACTCAGAATTCAGAATGATGACATGAGTATATTTCTGCCCAATTTCTCCACGTGAGTGGGAAAAGAAAATGTAGTTTTGCAGCTGAAGTGCTAGCTTCTAATCACCCTGCATAGTTTTACCAGGAGTATCTAAACCTGGAGGTAAGGGGGGGGGGAATATTCAAGTCATATATTACTGAACATTTCAAGTTTTCAGGACTGTTTGTTAATGTGCTCTCCTGGAAGCAAGAATATGATGAGGTTCACTGAAGGGTATTCATTCATTCGTTCGTTTATTCATTTAGCATGGCCACCCATCTCACAAAAAAGTGACTCTGGGTGGCATACAACACTTAATTAAAGAATCAATAAATATATAAAAACATTCATTATAAAAACTATAAAAGCACAAGAACAAGAGAGGATGATGTTAGCCACAGTAAGGGAGCTATTGCAAGATCTCCCTGGTTCTCTGGGATCCTCAAGCCTGATGATATTGCCAGGTCTTGTGGGACTTGTGGAATGTTAGGAAGGATGGAGCTAACCTCACTTCCCAGGGTGGGGTGGGAACAAGATTCCATAAGGCGGGCACCATGGCAGAGAAGGCCTGCCTCCTGAGACCAGCAGCATGCCTTCTCTGCCAGACCTGATTGGACAGGCAGATGGAAGTGGGGAGAGGCAGTCCCTCAGATAGCCTGGCCCCATGCCATAAAGGGCTTTAAAGGTTAAAACCAGAACCTTGAATTAGACCCAGAAGCAGCTTAAGGAGCAGAGGTATAATGTGTGCCATTCTAGGGGCACACATAACTGCCCATGCCACTGCATTTTGCACCAGTTGGAGCTTCTGGATACTCTTCAAGGGCAGCCCCATGTACAGCGCATTATAGAAGTCCAATTGGGAGGTGACTGAGCAGAGCCCCCCAAACCAGGACAGGCACAACTGGCTCACAACACGAAGCTGTGCAACAGTCCTCCTAGCCACAACTGCCAGCTACTCTTCGAGCTGGAGTCATCAGTCCAAGAGGACCCCCAGATTGTGCACAGGGTCTGTCTGAGGCAGTGCCACCCTGTCCAGAACTGAAAATGGCATAGCCCTAAAACCAGAAGGCCCCAAAACCCAAAGCCACTTAGTCTTGCCAGGGTTCAGCTGAAGCCTGTTGTTCTCCATCCAGAGCTTCACAGCCTCCAGGCACTGGGACAAGACGTTCACAGCATCACTTAATTCACCAGGGGCAGAGATGTATAATTGGGTATACTGATGATATCTCACCCCATGGCGATGGATGAGCTCACCCAGCAGCCTCATGTAGATGTTAAACAGGAGAGAGGAGAGCACCGAACCCAGTGGCACCCCACATAATGGGGGCCGAGGGATATCTCCTCCCCAACTATTATCAACTGAACTTGACCCTGGAGAAAGAAAGAGAACCAGCACAGTATCATGCCACCCACCCCCAATCATCTGAGCCAATCCAGAAGGATACCATGGTCGATGGTTGAAAGCTGCAGAGAGGTCAAGTAGGGCAAGGATGGATGCACAACCTTCATCTCGCCCTCGCCAGAGATCATCCAAAAGGACGACCAATGCTGTTTCTGTCCCATACCTGGGTCTGAATCCCAATTGAAAAGGATCCAGATAATCCACTTCTTCCAAGGTCCTTTGAAGCTGCTGTACCTTCCAAGGTCCTCTGAAGGCAACCACCTTCCAAGGTCCAAGGTCTGAAGCTGCTGTGCAACCACATGACTGCAGCTTGCTGCAATGTCATAATTGTGAGCTGGGTACCAAGCACCCGGATCGTGATTACATGACTGCAGGGACGCTGCAACAGCCAGAACTCCAAGGACCAGGACTAAGTCCTCCTCGTTCAGCAAGCATAATAAAATGTCCCTTCTTGTTGTTCAAATTTCCAACATAAATTTGAAGTGCCTTTATACATTCTAGACAATTTCTCTGGTGACACATACCAATGGTATATCATTTTATAAAAAAAAATTCTTTAAGATTATAACATAGTACAAATTTCAGTCCTTTCAACCTATTTTCCCATTGTTCCATTTGTATATTATAACCAAAATTTTTAGCCCACTTTATCATACATTCCGTAATTTGTTCTTCTGTTTCAAATCTCAATAACATTTTATACATTTTAGCAATTACATGTTCATCATTTGTACACAATTCTGTTTCAAACTCAGTCTTACAATGTTCAAAACCATAAACTCTTTTGTCTACTTTAAATCTTTCTAATAACTGTAAATAAGAAAGCCATTGGCAACTATATCCCTCTGCCACCAATTCTTCTCAATTTTATTTTGTATTCCCCTTGGCAAAATTCTAGTATCTCACGATAAGTTAGCCATTTATGTTTGCCTATTATTTCTGGTCTATAAAATGCTTCTTGTGCTGAGAGACACAAGGTGTTTTTGGGCACAACCTGGGTTTGTATCTATTTCATATGGCATGTCTAACATAATGATTTTTAAAATCCACATTACCCTTGACTTTATCGCACCACAGATACCCATGCCACCCAAACCTCGGGTCATGTTCTTCTAACTCCAAAAGCCTTCTATTTCTCAGCCACACCCACGCTTTCATCCAAAACAAATAGCAAGCTGCAAAATACAATTTCAAATCATGTAAACCCAATCCTCCTCTTTTCTTTGCATCCTGTAACACCTTATATTTAACTCGTGGTTTTTTCCCCTGTCACACAAATTTAGATATATCCTTTTGCCAATGTTTAAATGGTGCATCAGTTGTCAAAACAGATATTGTCTGAAACAAAAATATCATTCTAGGCAAGACATTCATTTTTATCACAGAAATTCTTCCCAGCAATGATAACTAGCTTCTCCCATCTTAACATATCTTTTTAAACTTCATTGATGTCTCAATTATTTTG